AAGGTCTTAAAAAACGAATTATGATATATTAATGTTGTATTTTACTACCACTCAGAAAACAATTCCATTTATGCCAACCCCCATTCAAAACAACCACCATTGAGAAACAACTGCTCTACTATACAAATTTTTAAAACCTAAGATAAAATTTAACTGATTTTTTTTATGTTTTAAAAAAGTATTCATATATTTCAGGAAAAAATAGTGGAGTCCTGAGCTGTTGAGTAATATGAAAGGAGCAAAGGTTAACATGATCCACTGAGCAAAAATGCTTATTAAAGTATCTGGAACGTCACAGTAGGAGGTACTTATGAAGACCCTGTCTGGAACAGTTCCCCAAATACAAAACTTATGTTTCTCTCCATTAAAGGCAATGAGAGAACTGATACACACTTTCACTACATCTTTTCTAAGAAAAAAATAAGGTACTTGTTCATTCCCTGTGTGTATGAGCAGCATTTGCAAGGAGAAACCTTCATATTTTCTAATAATAAGGAAATAGACATTCCAAGCATTAAAGCCAACTTCATCAAGAATGCACTCTTGTTTCCCAGATAACTTATATCCTCTTTAGTACATATTTGCTTCACTAGGAAATGAGTTTATCATTGGATAGTGGATTGGTTTTTTTATTCCACAAATGTTGGTTGAGGTTCTATATGCCCCAAATTGGGAGTACAGTGATAAATAAGACAGGTGAATTTTCTGCTCTCATTGAATTTGCACTTCTATGAAAACTCAGCAGATATTCATATCTTTTCAATGAGATGAGATACTATGGCATTTTCCTACACACGTAGACAAGACTGCTCAGGAACCATGTACAACTGAATGCCTAGTGAATAAGGCTCAGGAGTGATCACTTGAAGGAATGAAATACATGTGTCTACAAATCTGAATATTTTGTGTATCAGTGTTAAAAATTTGATTTGCTTCAGTTAAAAGCAGATCAGCCTTGAGGAGTGACTCAGGATGAGACTGGTGAGAACTACAGTGAGATCTGATAGAGGACCTTTAGGGAAAGTAGATAACTTGGAATTTTATACGGAAGACAAGCAATAGGCAGCCACTCTAAGCCCAGGTTTAATAACTTGGGTTTCCATGGAGAGAGTTCATGAACTTGAAAAGGAAAAAAATATTGCATATTTACTTTCACTAACTTTTTGCTGAAATTTGACATTTCTTTCATTTTTGAAGGTGGACAACATACCACATCAGAATGATCATTTCCTGTTACTTTGTCACCAATAGGTGTCACAGATATTTACAATTTCTGTTACTTACAGTGGCTAGAGATGCCTTGAAATATTGTTTGTGCTGCTCAATGCATTGAAATTATAATACTTACTGGTTCACTACTAGATCTTGTTATTGAATACACTGAAAAAGATTCATATTCATTATATTTCAGATTTGTTTTTCAACACTTTTTGAGAAGTGTGTTTCATTATGATTCGTTTACTTTGTAATCCTCTGTTTTATGTTAGGCCTGTAAAGACATTATTTTGAGAAGCGCCCACAGATTTTCCAGACTGACAAAGGGGTTCATGTCACAAAAAGGGTTAAGATCTCTTGTTCTAAGCAAAAGAGTGCAAACTCAAATGCCTGCAAGGATTGCCTGGAAAAAGAGAGTTGGGTTGGCAGACTAATACAACAATCTAGATGGAAAAACGATTTGCTGGAAAGTTCATGGGAGCCCAGTAACTAACACTCCTGTGATTTACCCAAATTTGGATCCAACCGAAAAGAAGACAAAGGAATAGGCAAGATGGAGTCCAGAGTATCACCTTTTAACTTAACAAACCAAATATCAGAGAATGTGCTATATTTCCTGGTGGCCACAATGCCAGGGCCTCCATTCAAGGCTTATAAAGGGAAGGAGCCCCCTGGAATCCTGGAGCACAGGACCAGCTTACAACAGCCGGCCACAGCCAACTTTCCAGCCATGGCCGCAGACACCGAATCCTGCTTGAACTTAAACCACGTCACCCAGCAGGGCTGGTTTGGGCAGGTCTCCACCTGTCGGGAGGAGAGTTTGCCCCAGAAGGCCTTGAAATGGGTCAGAACAATGCATTAATTAAATTAACTCCAAGGCCAAAAATGTACTCCCTATTTTCTTTCCCTTCCCAAGTTCTGTCCTACTACAACTGTCTAATATAACCTCTCAGAGGTTCTGCAATAAAATCAAAGAGAAATGCAGAAAGAAAGTCTCTTAATAAAAGGCCAGCAATGTGGAGATGGCCTAAATTTGAATACAATTTCTCCCATTGTAATTCTCTCAGAAAAATTAAAATCCAGACACTAATCCCTTTACAAGTTTAAGTCTAAAGATGACAAAGCCCAAAGGAATTATAGTCTGAAATTAGGTTCTATTGCTCTTATGAATTAAGTCCAAAGTAACTAATTCTCTTCTCTTTAAGTGTCGAGTTAAGGGGTTTCCACAGCCTTAGCAGAGGAAGGGGCTCTGCCAGTGTTTGCAGCCCGGGCTTTCTCTCACTGGGGTTAGTGTGGTTCTTGCAAAAAGTATACTGTTCAATGCCAGGTTGCTCATAGATTTAATGGTTAAAAGTTTCAAAAATATATTTTCAGTGGTGAGCCACACCCACCACGTTTAGAAGAGAAGCCAAACCTCAACCCCCTAAAGCAATCATCCCAGAAAAAATGACATTCCCAGAATGTGGGGCTTAGTATGTCGTCAAAGACCATGATCCAAAATGCAATTTCCATGTGGATGTGTGCTGGCGTGGTAGACAGAATAATAAATGGTCCCCTGAAGATGTCCACGTCCTAGTCCATGGAACATGTGATATAACTTTACATGGCAAAAAGGACTTTGCAGTTTCAATTAAGAATTTTGAAATGGGGAGATTATCCTGGATTATCTAGGTGGGCCCAGTATAATCACAAGGGCCCTTATATGAGGGAGACAAGAGTGTGAGAGCCAGAGATTTGAAGATGCTGTGCTACTACTGTCTTTAAGGATAGAGGAAGGGGCTGTGAGCCCAGGAATACAGGTGGCCTCTAGAAGCTGGAAAAGGTAAGGAAGTGAATTTTCCCCTAGAGCCTCCAGAAGGAACACAGCCCTGCCAACACCTTGATTTTAGCCCAGTGGGTCTCATTTTTGGAATTCTGGCCTCCAGAACTGTAACAAAATAAATTTATGTTGTGTTAGCTCACTAAGTGTGTTGCAGCAGTGAAAGAAAACCAACACGGCTTGTTAAAAACTTGGATTCTGATGCAAAACCAGGCTGCTTTCAGATCCTAGCTTGGCCATTTACTCAGTGTGTGGCCTTGAGTCCTACCAGCATGTGCTGGGGGGGCCTGAATCATCAGCACGTGTGTGTTAAGGCCAAGCCTTCACCGTGGGATTGCCCGTGCCCACTAAAGTCCAGGCCTTTCTAAGCCCCATGCAGGTGGTAACTGATGAGGTCATGTCCACACATGTGCCTTGGCACATTGGTGAGGCCCAGTTGTCCTGGTAATTTTCCTGAGAATTGTGTCTTTGCTGAGGGCCATGCAACTTTCCTTTCGGCTGTTACAATACATAAACAAAGAGCCACATATGAAAAACAGTCCATATAAAGCAACCATAGGATAAGTTGCAATCATCTATCAGCGTTGAAATATCAAGTGTGGCCTAAAGCTTATGCTCCCTTTTCCGTGTCACAGAATTTAAAAAATTCCAAGTGCAACAAGCAACCTTGTGAGCCAACAAAAGCCTCTACAACCCAAAGATCTCTCCCATACATAAAAATCCAAAGCCCGATGCCCCTCGAGATCTTTGAACATATTTATTTTCTTCCCCAACATTCCAGCCATTTATTTAATTTCTCGGTGTTCCCAGTGAATGCACCAAATGTTGGGGTATGCTAGGGAAAACTCTTTTTCTCTGCCCGAATTCAAACACAGTTGAGAGATAAGACAAGAGAGTAAGGCAAAATAGACTAAAACATCATCTTTATGACTGATAAAGCTGACATCGGAGGGTGTGGTTTATATGTACTGTCAAGGGAAGAGTGAATGGAAGTATGGAAACAGTCCAGAAGTGCAATGATAAGGCACATATTCTCCACATGGAAAGAAGTATCAGCAGCTGGTAACACCCAGGCCTTGAAATGCACAAGGGCCCAACTCATGGACTGCCAGTCCCTGTGACATCCACTTGTCGGATCCACTGAAAATCTTCTCAGTGTGTTGGGAAAAAAGATTTGCAATTCCAGTCAAATGATGATTAGTCTTTACTACTCTATGAAAAACAATCAATGCAAAAAGCAGAAATTTAGGCATCGTTATATAATTAACACGACTAATAGGGACCTAACTCATAATTACCTGGGAGATCCCTAAAAAATCTGGAACCAATGAAAATGGAGCTGATAAGGGAGTGTGCTTACAGCGGAAAATCTGGATCTTGCCCAGTCAGGAAAAGCACACTGCTCTACTTGATCGCCTGTGTGTTTTAAGTCTTCTGGTGTTATTTTCATTGTCAGCTACAGCTTGAAAGTTTACTCGTGGGTTGTTGCTTCACCACCTTAGCCCATTTGCATTCTCTGGTGATACCTGAGAGTAACTCATGCCGCTCAGATTCGTGCATCTCTGCCTCCGTGGGGCACATGGGCTCTGCAATGGCACAGAGTTCAGGGGGAACCGAAACCCCAGGAAGCTGCTTTTTGCCAACATAAATCAAGAATGTTGATGTGGAATGGTTTGGAGAGCTTAAGAGAAATTCATCACCACCACTGAAAAAGCTACATAGCATGTGTGTTCAACTGATGTTCAACCAGGAGTTATGTCTCGATGAATCCAGAAGGATTAAAAAGGAGGCGCTGTGCTTTTTAAATTTATATTTTAAAAATACGAAGTTACTACTTTAGATCGATAGCACCTTGAAAATGGGGCAATCTTTTAGGTTTTATCTCTGTGTTCTTTCAGAGGGTTGCAATATTTTAGGTTTGATTGCTGTGTTCATTCACTTCTAATTTCTTTTTTTTTTTTTTTAGGAAGGACTTCTGGTGATGCAGATTTCTTGGGAAAGTTGTTGATTTCACTGTATTCGGGAAGGATAAGTTTTGATGATCATTTCCTGTGCCTAAGGTACTTCTTTATTTGTTTCTTGGGAATCTTCCTTGCATAGCATCTTCAGAAGCCATTAGAACTAGCATTTGAAGCAGCTGTGTAAATGTAAGACTAGGGGCCCAAACCAGTAAGGTTGAAATTCCACTGTCTTTGAGCCCCACTCTGATAACTTGATTTTACTACAAAGTGGTCATGGTTCTTGCAGTCACTCACATATTACTCTCGGCTCTGGTTGGGTGGACTCTGATTTTCAACCGCTTCAAGCAAGCGTCCCCACCCACTCTGCTCTGCTGTCACCCCACCCAGGTGTACATTAGTGTACTGCAAACCTGCACTCATTTCTTGGTTATGCAGATGTTTGTGGACAGAATTGCTCCTGCCAGCTACTCTCCATCTACTGCTTTGTCTGTCTCCTTTCCTCTTTTGAATGCATCTGGAATGAGGCCAAGAAGCCAGAGTTCTCCTGGAAATGACATTCTCCAGAGAGGCATGGGCATACTTGTAATATTGTGCCTGGGAGCAGCATGACATCCTGGCACGGTGTGTGGCTGCACCTTCCAGGGAAATAGTTACGGGTTGCTTCTCTAATGGAAGGCTGGGGGATGGCTAATCATGTAACGATTTGAAATAATTACTAAAGAGAGAGAAAGAGTGAAAGACGTAATACTTTTGGTGGCTTCTGAAAAATGGCCATCATTGTTCTAGAATAGCATCCTGCCTGAATCATCATGGTTCTCAAGCTTAGGTGGAAATGTCTGAATTGCAGAGTGTTACCCTTAGTATAGTGCTCAGTGATGCTCCATTAGAAATTATTCTCTCTCTCAAAGCATCCTGAAGAAGTCGACTCAGCCTCAAGTCATTTTGTAATCTCAGTGACACAGACTTAGGGGAAAGGGGGGGAAGAAACGAGACCCAGATTGGGTGGCTGGATCAAATTGTGGGAACGGCCCCTGAGAAGGGCAGTCAGCAGTCCGGAATACAACATCCAGTGGGGCTGTGAATCAGGCTGATTTCACTGTTCCTGTTTTTGTGGTATGATCTAGGAAGTAGGGATTGGCAGTGGGGATTCTCACAGCAAAAACGCTAAAAAAATGATTGGTGATGACTCTGTGGGTCCAGGTGGATAGGACTCCAATTATAAGGTCCAGGGTAGGGCTCTGGCGAAAGCCAAAGCGTGAAGCCAGAGTCAAGCAGGCAGGGTTCAGAGCAAGATTTCAGGCCCTGCAGGGAAGAACCAGAGCATGGGGCAGGCCCATGAGGTAGAAATCAGACTGACAAGGAGGATACAATAGGAGGCTAGAGTGAAGTTTAACTCAGAGTAAGCGTGGGTTCCATGAACCAGTCCTGGGATTAAGTCTTCAGCAGGGTTTCTCAATGTCAGCACTATTGATATTTGGGGCCAGGTGATTCTCTGTTGTGAGGGGCTGCCCTGTGTATTGGGGAATAGTCAGCAGCAGCCCTCACCTCTATGCATTAGTCGCTACTGATACCCCCCCAGTTGTGACAGCCATAAATGTCTCCAGACTTTGACAAATATGCCTGGGTGGACAAAAAAAATCACTGTAGTTGAAAACTACTAGTTGACAGCAGAAGACTAATTCCCCTCAGCACTGACTAGTGGGGCCTCTATCTTGATCAGGTTTGGTTCATGAATGGGGCACATGTGAATCTGTCAGTTAAGGACCTCAGACAAGCCAAACTAGGGCCTGACAAATCTATCCAAAGTCCTCTGGTACTGAAAACTTTCATAATGAGATAACCAAGCGTTGGAGGGGGAAGAGCTTTGATTTTGCTTGGAGTTAAGAAGAGGAGAGAGAAGGAAGATGGAGAAGTCAGGGTGAAGTTAGCCAAGCTGAGAGTTTAAGGTAGAAGCCATAACTGCTCCCTTGGGCTTATCTGGAGCAAAACTGTTAGTATTCAGAACACCCAGGCCTTGCCATCTGGTGTGCTTTGGCGATGGAAATCCTACATTTAATTCAGCACTGAACGAAGGCTTAGGTGGATATTTAATGATGAAGTCTACACTTGCCAGTCAGTGTAGTACCACTGTACCTTTCCAGCAATAAGAAGGCTTTGAAAGTTCATACCACTCTACTTGGACAAGAATGTCCAAGGCCCAGGTTGTTTTTGTCTAAGTTTCTCTTTTCCTGAGAGATGATAGTTGACTCTGGAGCTAGGTTTGAGTCGAGGCCAATGAGACCTGTCCTTCAGCTTCATTCCCAAAATTGAAGGTCACTGATGGCTTCATTTGTGGTGTTTTATCTGCTGTGTGTTCCCAGAGATGGTTTCATGCAGTCTGCCTCAACAGATCTTCAACCCCCAGGAATCTGGTTGTTTCTAAATCCAGGACTTCTGCCACCCCTTCTGGTCATTTTTGTTCTCCAACCGGTACATCTTTCCTTTCAGAGGAGGAGTTAAATGTTAGGTGGTCAGAGCAGAGTGCCTGCCTGAGTACCACCCCAGAAGAAGTGTGGATCACTTATTTCTCTAAGCGTAGCCAGGCAGCTCCCAGAACTCACTCAAAGACTGCTCTCCAAGTGCGCTAGAAGGCCACGTGAGAGCCCCAAATTCAGGGAGGCAGAGTGAGTGGTGTCTCCCCACTTCCACCTCTGCCACAGGCAGTGATAGTGAGGATCACATTAGAGCACACTACATGGCAGGTGGTGGGAATTTAATACACAATTTGCTTGTTAAATGAAAATGAAATAGTGTTGCTTATAAAACTTCAGGGTATTAGGAGCTTAGGTAAGTGCATGTGAATTTCAGGGATCTTTGGATGGGATTAATTTCATTTATACTGTCTGAGAAAATGCAAAGCAGCAAAGGGTGACTTTGCTTAACCAAGAGATCAAGAAGCGGTCACTTGACAAACAGAATAGTGGCGTCTTGATCTTCTTTCCTCTGTTATGTACTCTCTTGGTTTGATTCCTGGGATTCAGTGCTATTTAGTTAGAGGAAAAGCATTCTTTCTACCTGAATATTTTTAGGTAATATTTCTGATCCATTAGGCACTTTCTTCCTACTAATGAACATCTGCATACCGATTATAAAACTACATTTGGAGGGGCAGCGAAGTTTAACTTTGCTTAAATTCTTTGCACTGCTTAATTTAGTATTAATAGAAACCCCAACACTCCAAATGTATTTAGAGTTTATTTTGTATAATTTAAAAATCTGTATTTTTTGGTAACTTTTTATATTGGTTTGAAGAGTTTGTGTGTGAGAGAGATAAAAAGAGAGACAGAAAGAGAATGGGAGGAAGAGAGGGAGGCAGGCAGTGTTTTCCTTTCACTGTCTCAAAGGTTTAACTTGGTTATTCAGGAATGATCTCAATTTTGTTTTGCACATATTTTGCTCTGAACTTTACCCAGAAATTTAAGGTTGGATTAATTCTTCTGCGGTTAAAATCTGTTTTAATTCTAGCAACCTCAGTCTAGGTATACTTTAAGAAGAAAGGCCTACTATATTTGGTTCTCAACATTTAGGTCCTAATTTCCAGTTCTGTCCTTATATATTACACAGTATTTCCAACAGATTGGCATTCTGCTTGGTGACCTTTGAAACGTGCAAGCAGGACGTTGAAATGAGGACCAACTGAAGTTCTATCTTTCCTGTTTACTAAGCTTGCTTTCCAAGACTCCTTCCTGACAGCCTACCCCAGTCCTTGGAACTTGCCAATAAACACTCAAACTAAAACAAGGCTCCCACTCACTTAAGTTTCTGGACTTCACTGCACTTAGCATTTAACATGTAGCAGAATATGGTATACAGAATATTAAAGTTCAGGGAGCTGAATAGGTCTTAGATGTGTTCCTTACCAGCTCTGAAACCTTGGGAAATGGGAGAATTTTAAAATGCATATTTTGGATTAACAAAAGTTTGAAGACTCAAAAGTGGTGATTGCTTGCTTAATTTCACCAGAGACTAAAGGAATTAAGTAGAATTTATAATCTATGGAATCCAAGGTCATATTAAAAGAAACATTGAACTCCAGGAGCCTCATGAAAGAGCTCGATTAATAGAGATGACTCACTTTAATCATATGTGAAACCTTGCACGTTGACTTGGAACTTCACAATGATACAAATATGGTACAGGAAGGCACAGTGCCTCCCATGGCCTTCGAGTGCCTTCAGCTGCCTTCACACGGGATGAGATCTCAGTCGTCTCAACCAGATAGGTATAAAAAAGCCCTTGGGAACCGTCTCCTGGAGACCCCCTCATGATGTTCCTACTTCCCCTGCTGGAAAGGTGTTCTCCATTCAGGTCCTCTTATCCTGGTCCTCCTCTTACCCTCTTGCAAATTACATATGTTTTCTCTTGTTCAGATATAAACAGAGATGTGAGAAAGGTCAGTCTCCTCTATTCTAGAAACCATACTTTCCTTTTCAACATGATGTTCATGTTCTGTTTTAACATATGTTTTATCATATAACATTCTATTTAAAATTCTGTAAATATATATATATATAATTATCTACCATTAAAGCTAAAATAGCTTAAAAAAATAAGTATTTGAAGCCTAATTGTGAGCAGTAAAGGAGTTGACAGAAGGGATTATTATATTTAGTTTTTTTAAAAAAGCTAATAGCCAGTAGCTGTTAACTGTGAATGCCTCTTTTTTTTTTTTGATTGCCAGTTAACTTTATTTATTTATTGGGAATATACATATCAAGTAAATAAAATGGAGTTTAACAGGCAATTACAAAGGAAATACTTTGTACAACTACCACCCAAATCAGTAACCCCCCAAACCCCAAATATGCACACCCCCTTTACAACTTCGCTGTCATCTTTGTAGGCAGCATCTAGTTGGGTTTTGCCTTTTTAGCTAAACTGACAGTCTCTTTTTAATTGGTATGTTCAGATTATTCACTTTTTTTTTTTTTTTTTTGCGGTACGCGGGCCTCTCACTGTTGTGGCCTCTCCCGTTGCGGAGCACGGGCTCCGGACGTGCAGGCCCAGCGGCCACGGCTCACGCGCCCAGCCGCTCCGCGGCACGTGGGATCCTCCTGGAC